AGCAAAGGGTCTGAATACTTATGACCATGTGATATTTCAGTTTTTCTTTTTTAATAAATCTGCAAAAATGTCAAACATTCTGTGTTTTTCTGTCAATATAGGGTGCTGTGTGTACATTAATGAGGAAAAAAATGAACTTTTAGCATATGGCTGCAATATAACAAAGAGTGAAAAATTTAAGGGGGTTTGAATATTTTTCGTACCCACTGTATTCTTGAGTCTATAAGGTAACAATAATATAATAAGATAACCTTGTTTGAAATGGGTTTGGCTAAAAGAAAATTTTGGTTTCGTCTATACTACTAGGTACTTATACTATATTGACTGGGTTAAATAGAATTGCATTACTAAAAAGACACTCAAATACAATTTTCATTGACTAAAATAAGACTAAAATGTCATCAGTTTTGGTTGACTAAAACTAGACTAGACTAAAAAGAGTATGAATGTGACTAAAACTAATAAAAACTAAAATGACAGCTTCACACAAAGATTAAACTAAAACTAAAATTAAAACAGGCTGCCAAAAACAACTCTACTGGCATCATGCATCATTTTTGGATAACCACAGCTCATCATACCTCTTACAAAAGTCCTGAGATGTGGACTGGGTTTAGTTAATATATTGGCATGAGAAGAAGGTGGAAAAGTAGCAGATAGACAACAGAATGAATAGATAGAAATTGGGTTTATAAAGGAGCAGAAAGAAAGAAAAGTAGAAGATCAGGCGAAAGAGAAGAAAGAAAAATGTTACTGTGGCTCTAATTATTAATACTCTATTTACACATACATATTCCTCTACCAATCACTAACAAACCACCCCAGGGGACGTCTGTGCATGTGCATGGGTCCAGCTCGAGTGTGTATATGCGTGTGTTGGCTCCCAAACTGGCATTCCATCACTGAACGTAGATGACAGTTTCATGTGGTTTGGCAGTTCCAAGCACTATCAAAGTGTCTGCTGGGAAACACACACAGCTTCTTTCTTACAAACATACTGACACAAACAGAGCATCCACCAATATCAACAGAGCAGCTATGACTTCATCTTTGATGGGAAACAGCACCATCAGCTAACCGGCACACAGGCACGTCAGAACTCTGCAGCAGGTTCGGTCTCAGATCAAATGTCTCATGAGAATATTTTTGTGAAACAAGGAAGCGATCCAAGCAATTTTGATCTGAGAGGCCTTATACTTTTGTCTCATAATACAGTGTTTTATTAAAATACCAATATCCAAACTATGTTAGTGCCTTAGTTATATAGACCTAAATGCTTCAATATTTCAATAGCAACCTAAATGCTTCAATATTTCACACTAGTGACCCACAGGGTAGTGACCCACAGTTAGTTTCAGCAGCCCTCAAGATATTAACAACTCCAATGAGGTAAATACCTTAGATTCCCTAACATTCAGTGAGAACTGAAGAAACTTCTCAGATGAGAGGTGAAACATCTTCAAGCAACTCAGGCAAATCTACATGACAACTTTTGTCACTTTAGGTTTATTTGAATGAATTAATTTTTTTCTTGAAGCCTTCTAGGTTTTTTTGGTTTTTAGCTGTTTCTCTTTGTTTTTATTTCAGCGGCTGCAGCTTCCTGAGCGCAGCCAAGCCGGCGCCTTTTAACGGACAGGCTTTAAATGGCAGTGCTTGGATGGAGGGGGAGGGAATGAGGAGCGTTCACATCAAAGCCTATAGTGAGGTAATAGCAACTGGCACATGCAAGGGAACTGAGTGATTCATTTGTTCCTCTGTTCATAATGTGTAAAAATACTGTCTGTCTTCTGTACACTAAAGCAAAATACAAGCATGCACTGCATCTGTGTATGTTATTAATGTTGAAAAAGTTGGTTAAGATAAATCAGTTCTTCAGTGACAGTTCATCAGTAGATAACAGGTAGTTTGTGCACATATGGCTTTGACCTGCCAATACAAATTGATGTTTATACACCTTAAATTTATAACATATTGCTCAGCATAGTATCACAGTGCAACCCCATATGGCAGATGACGCTCAGTACATTCATTTGCTTCTTGTCATTGTTGTGTATTATTATCTTTCAAGGTATAAAAAGGAAGGCTCTATAAGCTATGCTGAGGCTATGCCATACAAATCCTCATAGGTGTTTAAAGTCCCCATGGCTGTTCATTTTGCTCATTTCCAGCCATTTAATATTGGGTACCTCTAGATTAGCTTTGTATCCACCATTAGTCCAGATAGTCTGTAGTTATTTCAGAACAGTAAAACCCGAGAGCCTTTTCCTGAAAACAAGAGGATAGTTTGTGAAAGTGCACAACTCCTGCTGCTTGTGTTGTGTAAAAATCTATTTCCCCGTCGAGATGCCTTTCCTCTAACCTGCATCTTAACATTATCCTAACCACAGCCACTGAGGGAGGCACTACATAAAACTGCATTTTGAACAGCAGAAACACCTTGACAGGGAACAAAAAACATTGACAAATAGGCTATGTTTTTGACAATAACAATACCTCAAATCCTACCTGACATGTTCAAGTCAGAAAATGATAGTGGACAACAAAAAGAACCACAACAGTACTAATTAATTTGAATCCCCCCTCCATAGATACGTAGGAAAACAACGGTATATGTATGTAAAGAGATGTGTAACACTAAACAAAGTTGGTAACTGAGAAAGCTCATATTTTAATTGGCATAATGCAGACATAGTAACTTCTCCAGCCTTACAACAATTCTCTCTAATTTTACAGAAACAATGGATTAACAGACACACAATGTGTTTTTTTATACTTACCGTTAAGTCCCACCAAGTAGTGGAAACTTCAAGGTCAGTAAATCCAACCAGTGATCGCTGCATTTTCCCCTACAAATCCCTCGTGTTACAAGGGCATACAGTCCCAAAGGAGTGAAATTAATTCCAACAGTGTAGCACCAACAATAACATCATGGATCATTAGAATCCTCTCGCCAACCAGCAACACATCCTATTTGGCAGACACACTGGCCAAAGCAGTCAAAACAAACAGGTACTTGCTGGGAATCCAGTGCTGATTAGCTGATCATTCAGTGCCCCAGGGGGCTTAGCTGGCCGGCTGCTTGTAGGTAAACCCAGTCAGATAAAACAGTGAGTCCCTGTACAGGAACATTCCTGGACATGCAGTAACCTCAGGCCCTGTATTTTTCTCCACATCTTCTGGGCACAGTGCAGCAGCAGGAGTGAAAATACAGTATATCCACAAAACCGGGTGCTGACAAAAAAACTCTTTAACTCTTTAACTTTTAAAATGGCACAGGTGGATGTCAGGCAAGCTCACATGAATGTGCGAAGGCCTGGAGATAATGACCATTCAAGGAAATCCTTAAACTATCGTGTAATACTGAATTTTGTTAGAAAAAAAGTCTTGCAAGAAAGAGTTTGTGATACGTGTATAAACCGAGTTGCTTATGCATAGAAATACTAGAACAAACATACACCTTAGTTTTTTTTAGCTTTAGGTCACATCTAAGATGATAATTCATTGCTGTAACATTGTAGATAAGCCAGAAATCATGAAAAAGCATGTTGTGGGCTCTTTAAGGAAATTCTGCCATGAATTCTAAAAGTGTAAAAAAGCAACCCGGTCTCCTTGTCATGATCGGCGTGTAAAGCTGTCGATGATGTCTAGGGTGAATTCAATTATGAGGCCAGACGAGGATAAGCAGAACACTGTCTCTTTAATGAATGGAGCCACATATATATTTACAGTGGGGGTGCTAGGTGGAGGTTGGGGTGGATAGCAAATGCACAAAACATACACTAGAGACCAGGGTTTGCCCCTGCACCTGGAGCTCTGCCCATGGTTAGTCTAAACTCTGCCAGTGAAAACCTGAACAGCAGGATGAAGGGGAAACTGGGAAAAAGAGCAAAGCAGATCCATTTCACTGACTACCGCTGAATCCCGTACAGTGCAAGTATTTACAGTAAACATCATATGATTGTGGGCTCTTTTTTCCAACATCTTGTTTGTTTTTCTCAAGTGTTATTCAAGGCACACACCCATCCCAGATTCTATGTGTCACTGTCCTGCAAGCTCCAACAAGTCATGACAACCATAGTGATGCAATAGGTTCGCAAGAATGGGTGATTCAGACACACATGACATGAAATGTGTTTGTGGTCACATAGTCAAAGGTTTGTAAAGTCATGTAAATCTGTCTCCAGTATAGACATGTACACTGTAGGCTTCTTTTTTTTTTTGAAAAGCAAGTTTAGACCCTGATAGTATCTGCTGACCTTAGAGTTAAATCTTTACAAACTTTTTTGTAAAATTGACAAAGAAGTTGAAAGGTTACTTCACACTGAATATTTTGATACCTGAAATACCCCAGT